TGGAGGAGAGGACGGGTGATCACAGTAATAGATGGAGGAGAGGACGGGTGATCACAGTAATAGATGGAGGAGAGGACGGGTGATCACAGTAATAGATGGAGGAGAGGACGGGTGATCACAGTAATAGATGGAGGAGAGGACGGGTGATCACAGTAATAGATGGAGGAGAGGACGGGTGATCACAGTAATAGATGGAGGAGAGGACGGGTGATCACAGTAATAGATGGAGGAGAGGACGGGTGATCACAGTAATAGATGGAGGAGAGGACGGGTGATCACAGTAATAGATGGAGGAGAGGACGGGTGATCACAGATCACAGTAATAGATGGAGGAGAGGACGGGTGATCACAGTAATAGATGGAGGAGAGGACGGGTGATCACAGTAATAGATGGAGGAGAGGAGATGGGTGATCACAGTAATAGATGGAGGAGAGGACGGGTGATCACAGTAATAGATGGAGGAGAGGACGGGTGATCACAGTAATAGATGGAGGAGAGGACGGGTGATCACAGTAATAGATGGAGGAGAGGACGGGTGATCACAGTAATAGATGGAGGAGAGGACGGGTGATCACAGTAATAGATGGAGGAGAGGACGGGTGATCACAGTAATAGATGGAGGAGAGGACGGGTGATCACAGTAATAGATGGAGGAGAGGACGGGTGATCACAGTAATAGATGGAGGAGAGGACGGGTGATCACAGTAATAGATGGAGGAGAGGACGGGTGATCACAGTAATAGATGGAGGAGAGGACGGGTGATCACAGTAATAGATGGAGGAGAGGACGGGTGAGTAATAGATGGAGGAGAGGACGGGTGATCACAGTAATAGATGGAGGAGAGGACGGGTGATCACAGTAATAGATGGAGGAGAGGACGGGTGATCACAGTAATAGATGGAGGAGAGGACGGGTGATCACAGTAATAGATGGAGGAGAGGACGGGTGATCACAGTAATAGATGGAGGAGAGGACGGGTGATCACAGTAATAGATCACAGTAATAGATGGAGGAGAGGACGGGTGATCACAGTAATAGATGGAGGAGAGGACGGGTGATCACAGTAATAGATGGAGGAGAGGACGGGTGATCACAGTAATAGATGGAGGAGAGGACGGGTGATCACAGTAATAGATGGAGGAGAGGACGGGTGATCACAGTAATAGATGGAGGAGAGGACGGGTGATCACAGTAATAGATGGAGGAGAGGACGGGTGATCACAGTAATAGATGGAGGAGAGGACGGGTGATCACAGTAATAGATAATAGATGGAGGAGAGGACGGGTGATCACAGTAATAGATGGAGGAGAGGACGGGTGATCACAGTAATAGATGGAGGAGAGGACGGGTGATCACAGTAATAGATGGAGGAGAGGACGGGTGATCACAGTAATAGATGGAGGAGAGGACGGGTGATCACAGTAATAGATGGAGGAGAGGACGGGTGATCACAGTAATAGATGGAGGAGAGGACGGGTGATCACAGTAATAGATGGAGGAGAGGACGGGTGATCACAGTAATAGATGGAGGAGAGGACGGGTGAGTAATAGATGGAGGAGAGGACGGGTGATCACAGTAATAGATGGAGGAGAGGACGGGTGATCACAGTAATAGATGGAGGAGAGGACGGGTGATCACAGTAATAGATGGAGGAGAGGACGGGTGATCACAGTAATAGATGGAGGAGAGGACGGGTGATCACAGTAATAGATGGAGGAGAGGACGGGTGATCACAGTGGAGGAGAGGAATAGTAATGGAGGAGAGAGGACGGGTGATCACAGTAATAGATGGAGGAGAGGACGGGTGATCACAGTAATAGATGGAGGAGAGGACGGGTGATCACAGTAATAGATGGAGGAGAGGACGGGTGATCACAGTAATAGATGGAGGAGAGGACGGGTGATCACAGATAATAGATGGAGGAGAGGACGGGTGATCACAGTAATAGATGGAGGAGAGGACGGGTGATCACAGTAATAGATGGAGGAGAGGACGGGTGATCACAGTAATAGATGGAGGAGAGGACGGGTGATCACAGTAATAGATGGAGGAGAGGACGGGTGATCACAGTAATAGATGGAGGAGAGGACGGGTGATCACAGTAATAGATGGAGGAGAGGACGGGTGATCACAGTAATAGATGGAGGAGAGGACGGGTGATCACAGTAATAGATGGAGAGAGGAGGACGGGTGATCACAGTAATAGATGGAGGAGAGGACGGGTGATCACAGTAATAGATGGAGGAGAGGACGGTGATCACAGTAATAGATGGAGGAGAGGACGGGTGATCACAGTAATAGATGGAGGAGAGGACGGTGATCACAGTAATAGATGGAGGAGAGGACGTAGTCCACCACCCAGCCAGGCAAAACTAACTCTATATATCTCGGAAGACCAACAAGCACAAATCCTATTGAGTGACAACGAAGATAATAATAATGTACAGAATCTAGCAGCTATCTCTCAGCCCAATAGGAACAACGAAAGAACTTTAAAGTGTTTCTACACAAATACCAGAAGTCTGGTGAATACAAGTGATGCATTGTGTGCATCTGCTGAGGCCGAGACTCCAAACGTCATTGGCATAAGTGAAACATGGGGACGAGAGGACATTATTGAATGGGAACTCCTTCTCCTAGGATAATGTCCCTGGGAGGGCGCACGTCTATCCATAGTGACTATATGTACTGTGTACGTCCATACATAGTGACTATAGGTACTGTGTACGTCCATACATAGTGACTATAGGTACTGTGTACGTCCATACATAGTGACTATAGGTACTATGCACGTCTATCCATAGTGACTATAGGTACTATGCACATCCATACATAGTGACTATAGGTACTATGTACGTCCATCCATAGTGACTATAGGCACTATGTACGTCCATCCATAGTCACTATAGGTACTATGCACGTCCATTCATAGTGACTATAGGTACTATGCACGTCCATCCATAGTCACTATAGGTACTATGCAGGTCCATCCATAGTCACTATAGGTACTATGCACGTTCATCCAAAGTAATTATAGGTACTGTGTACGTCCATCCATAGTGATTATAGGTACTGTGTACGTGCATCCATAGTGACTATAGGTACTGTGTACGTCCATCCATAGTGGCTATAGGTACTGTGTACGTCCATCCACAGTGACTATATTTATTATGCACGTCCATCTCTAGTGACTATAGTATTGTGCACGTCCATCCATAGTAACTATAGGTATTTTTCACGTCCATCCACAGTGACTATAGATACTATATGTCGGAAAACCTGACACCATTTACTAATATTCTAGTATAATATTATCAATAGGCAGATAATATTGCTGATGGGTTGTATAAACAAGTTAACCCCCATAGAAAATGTAGTCTATAGTGGAATTTTCCGTCAATAGAAATCGGAATATCATTGCTACGTTGCTATAAAATTCACCAGCTATTCTGCTGGGAATTATTCTTAATACAGCAGTCTCGGGACTGTGAATATCATAAAACATTTCACTTGAATCAACCTAATTATTAGTACCAAAGTAGAGAAAATGTAACTTTTCTACCACTACTTGACATCTGGACAAGAGAGGGAGAGCGACAGTGGAGGAAGGTCAGCCATTGTTAATTTTACCAACAACGTCGCTGAAGCAGAACAGCTCCTATAAACTCCACTGGACGAAGTGTTATAGAGAGTAAATTAGTGCTTCCATTATCAACACGCAGTCATCGTCTTCAAAGAAGGGAAGTGTCCAATTCCGAAATCTTATCTAGTCATTCCTGACCAGTAATGTTAGGTAGATAGGATATTTTCCGGGTTACGACATGAGGCAGCGACATAACCCAGGTAATTATTCCTTGGTCATTATCTCATAATCAATATTACAAATATTTCCTCTGATATAACTGTCATATATATAGGATTACTGCTATTATTGCAAGTTCCCGTTGACAGGAACAACTGAAGAGGAAGCAGGAGAGTAACCTGGTACTTCAGTACATGAGTTGTAGGCCAGCCACACCCACAAAGTGGAATGACTGTCTTACCCATCCGTGTTCATACTGGTTGTCTAGGATATATCAACAATAAGATAAGGCCTCCCAATATTAATTACTAATATATGTAGCTTAAAACTGTAGTGAATGTCTGCTAATCAATAATTTTGATTGACTACATATATAAACAATAAACCCCCCTAAAATGTGTAAAGGAGTTGATATGTAAGAATTTGCAGAAATACAGTCCACTTCATCATACAATTTGCTATCGAATATATAAATTACTGTATAATACAAATTCTATATAAATTAAATAAACTTAAATCTCACAGGTCAATTCCTCACACTATGTACGTCCATCGTGACTGTAGGAATTTTGTACGTCCATCCATAGTGACTATAGGTACTGTGTACGTCCTTCCATAGTGACTATATGTTCTATGTACATCCATCCATAGCGACTATAGGTACTATGTACTTCCATCCATAGTGGCTATATGTCCGGTGTATGTCCATCCATAGTGATTATAGGTACTATGTACGTCCATCCAAAGTGACTATAGATATTGTGTACGTCCATCCATAGTGACTATTGGTACTGTGTACTTCCATTCATAGTGACTATAGGTACTAAGCTCGTCCATCCATAGTGACTATAGGTACGATGCTCGTCCATCCATAGTGATTATAGGTACTATGCTCGTCCATCCAGAGTGACTATAGGTACTATGCTCGTCCATCCATAGTGATTATAGGTACTATCGTCTGTGAATGACAGGCTGTGCTTGATGCTGAAGGCGACAAGACTGAATACTTCATTCCCAAGATTCTTCAACAAATTGTAAACATAATGGCACCAGGAACAAGAGAATATTATTTTAAAAATTTTCTTGTACTCATTTCTGTGCCTAAAATCATCAGTGAAGTCAGACATGAATCGAGTGACGAAACTGACAGGCATAGAAACATCGACAAATGTACTGTATATATGACTCCTTACCTTGCGTATACTTGTCATCAAGAGTCAGATGAGTAGAGACCAGGTCAGTCAGGTTGGTCATCACCGTCTGCATACTTTTCACACCTGTAAACAGTTGCCTCCATTAAGATCGTATCCTTACATGTGTTTCTATGATGTGTTCAGCACTAGAGATTATCTTGTGTGCTGGAACCTTATGGTAATGTTTTTATAAGCAGCAAATATTTAGTTTACTAACTCATTAAATAAGTCACAAGAACTGTGAACATAAAAACTTTGAACTTTCCACTTACTCTTACCTTCCTGGACGCCTCGCTGCTCCTCCTGC